TCTCATTATACTTAACTCGAGAAATAATAAATGACTGTAGCAGAGACAAGTTCACAGTCACTAGTAAGAATCATTACTCAACTGTCTCTAAGTCAAATCTAATGCTGTTCGCGCTTATGTAAATGAAAACAACAAGCGTAAAAAATTGGAAGCGAACACAGTAGCTCTCGTGGTAAAAAAATACAGCACATTATCGCCCGTGTACCGCATCAGGGCGCTGTATGGTCCACTAAATACCTAATTTATTAGTAACTTTAATAACTGCCAGTTTACACCAGTCATACAATCATATCCAGGCAATAATCTGTTAGGATGTTGGTGTTTATATAATGCAAGTTTAGTAGATCAGTTGGCCTTTGGTTATTACACGAAGGAATGATACAGTATCTCCCCTTACTCAGATGATATGGCTTTTTATATTGTTTCCTCAACATATTTACAGCGATTATTATTTAAGTACATCTTGAATCTAAATCTGAAGTGAAAAATTGAAACAGTTTTGATCTGTTTTACTGTAAATTTCAATATTACCAGATTAATAAAACTTTGAGATAATACAAAATAGATATCATTTACAAGTGTTATGTACAGTAAGCTAAACAACTATCTGTGCAAGTGGGGGTTGATATGCTACCCCAAAATTTTACATGTAACTAGTGACAGCCTTCATATAGTACCAATATTTATCGTCCATGGTTTCATATTGTTTCCCACAAAGTATGCACAGGTAGTTGTTTTAGCTACAGTACAAACGGTAGTAGTCGTCAATACCATTTACCGCACTCGTTAGCCGTAAAACATTGTCGTTGATGACGGCGAGGTGGTCCCAGCTGTCATGTTTAACAATTCTAGTATGAGATAATTGTGTATAGTTATATATTTCTTTAATTAGTTATGACGGTAAATACCCAGTGGAACAGAGGCTCTCTCCCTTGATCCACTACTACACAGGCTGGAGAAGCTAACACAGTTCAACACTTCCAGATAAATAGAATGTTTGGAGAATAAAACCTCACTTTATAAACAGGAAGAGATGTGCCCTGTGTGATCATTATAAGAGTACCAGACCTTGTTAAGACCAGGCTACTGTACTGTTACACTATCAGGTCTAGACCAGCATCAGTTATAAACCATCTCCATCGTGTGATCTGATAAATTTAAGATATACAATATCAATGTCCGTACCAGCACAGGTTTAATGTATTAAATCTGACAAAAGTATCTTGTAAAATTATCAACCTCCTCTTGAGGATAAATGTGAAACTGAGTCTTACATCTATATTACACATTCTGAAAACTTGAAAAAAAAAAACCCTCAAATTTCAGATCATCAGTTAATATTAATTAATTTCTCATTCCCATGAAATAAGTTCACAAGTTTAACAAGAAATAAAATACAGTACTTATAATTCCTTTGTTTCCTGTAATCTTTTCATCATATATAACCAACAATAACGCTCTATAATCCCTTCACTACAGGGACGCCATTTTTAACGTTTTATTTAATAAATGCCAAATGATTTTATTCAGCTCAGAGGCGACCCTATAAACAGGGGTTAGGAGGAGACTTGGTTAATATAGCATAAGAGGTGAGGAAAGTTAATACAGTTACCTTTATATTTATACAGTAACTAATGTTGAAGTGTAATGTTGTGTATTATGTTAAATATACATTAATACTGCCTGCCTGCCACACTACACCACTGTATGTCTAAATAAGTATACAGCACACAGAGTTAAGTATACTGTATATATGTTGAGCATTTTAATACCATACAGAGGCTTTATTAAAACACCAATAATGTTCAAAATTAAAAAAAAAATCTAAAAAAATTCCCAACTTAAAAACAATTCATTATATTTTCCTACAGCAAAGATGGAAGGATAGACAGGATAGAGATGGAAGGATAGACAGGATAGAGATGGAAGGATAGACAGGATAGAGATGGAAGGATAGACAGGATAAAGATGGAAGGATAGACAGAAGAGAGAGGTCCTTAAGGTAATTCAAGATAGTACTGTTAGGTCATCTAATTACTGTACTGTTCTGTGAGGTCGTGAAGGTGATTCAAGATAGTAATTAGGTCATCTAATTACTGTACTGTTCTATGAGGTCGTTAAGTTGTTTAGAGATGATTCAAGGCAGTATTATTTTAGTAGTGATGATTAGGTAAGGGTATGTTAAACAGGGAGGCTGGTAAACAGCCTCACTTGAAGGGACATTAGTGTACTGTACATGACCCGATCCACTGCCAGTAGAGATCAGGTCGAATTTCACTTATTCACAGGAGTTTGATAGATAGAGTTCGGTCTTGACTGGCAATTACTATATATAAACCATTCTATATATTACAATTTATAAGAATGTTGGTTTTTTCCTGTTTTTAATCTATATATTAAGTCCGATAGATGCTTCTGTTTTTAATCTATATATTAAGTCAGTAACATTGAGAAAGTTTTACACAATCTGGTTATATGTAACTGAGCAAAAATCACATAAACACTTGATACCATATGTAGTGTTTTAACCTTCAAATGGTGAATAAATTACATATAAATCAATATATATCTCTCCTAAACATCAAGATACAGTACAGTACATTAATGATAAACTATACTGTGAGAAATATTACCTAATGCTATTTGGTGTCGTTCCAATGATTTTGTTTATTAGTATTTATGTCGATATTTCATTACATTTTGAAGGGAAGTTTGATTATGTCTTTAAAACTTACGGAGATATTTCTTATTATAACTAGAAATTAAAAGAATTGATCCATTGGTTAGGTTAGGTTAGGTTAAGGAGATGACTTACATTTAACATCTTAATTGACCTACAGACAATAGTATCTGTCATGTGTTTTGTTGTCAGATGCAGTTAAATGAATGCTATAAGAAAAATTAACCCAAGAATCTGAAACTATTCCCAGATAACAAGCCACCAATCACCTCATTCATCGTTATCAGGTGTTACATTGTACTCATTCTAACATCCAACATTCCCAGAAGTTTATGTTAAGTGTGCCAATATTTTCCTGGCAACTCCTAATGTGATATCTAAAATAAAATTTAAGTTGTTTATTTCTGGTGAAAAGAACAATGTAATACCCTTCTATTTTATACAGGGGCCCCAAGTTCACGGATTTATAATTCATGGTTCTCTGTTATTTGTGGATGACACCCTTGATGTACCCTAGAATGTCTGTGGGTAATTTTAAAGTTGCTGGCACTTGCGTGGTCAAGACAGGGAGGAGCCATTCATTCCAGAAACAGTACACACACACACACACATATATACAATACAGGTAAAAGAAATAATTGTTCTAAGGTCAAACACATAAAGGGTTTATACACAAATAAAAATGTCCCCCCCCCCGGTCAGCAAATGTAATTTGCCGATTTGGCAATTCGCGACAATTTTGAAAACCTGACCTCTGAGAATTTGAAGGGTATGCTGTACTGTGTTATAAGTACACTGTACTTATAACACAGTACTGTACTTAGTACAGTACTGTGTTATAACCCAAGACTAACTGATCCACAACCTGAGACAATCACACCGTTACAATATAAACAGTTACCATTAAAAACTGTTATCAGAGAGCCAATAATATTTTACACAACATGTAAGAGAAATTGATTATATAAACAGACTAAAACCAAATTGTATATAAAGATTTGTTCCTTTACACCAAGAGTATAGTATAGTACAGTACAGTACTTGTGTAAAAAGATATAAAAATACAAATTCTTCACAGGCTGTTATTTAGTAAGAGCTTAAACGAATGGCTCTTAAGTTTGTGTTTAGCATTAAACATGTTTGTGTTTGTGTGTGTGTGTTCAGCATTATACATGTGGGTGTTCAGCATTATACATGTGTGTGTTCAGCATTATACATATATGTGTTCAGCATTATACATGTGGGTGTTCAGCATTATACATGTGGGTGTTCAGCATTATACATGTGTGTGTTCAGCATTATACATGTGTGTTGTTCAGCATTATACATGTGTGTTGTTCAGCATTATACATGTGTGTTGTTCAGCATTATACATGTGTGTTGTTCAGCATTATACATGTGTGTGTGTTCAGCATTATACATGTGTGTTGTTCAGCATTATACATGTGTGTGTGTTCAGCATTATATACATGTGTGTTGTTCCTTGTATACATGTGTGTGTGTTCAGCATTATACATGTGTTTGTTCAGCATTATACATGTGTGTTGTTCAGCATTATACATGTGTGTTTGTTCAGCATTATACATGTGTGTGTTGTTCAGCATTATACATGTGTGTTGTTTCAGCATTATACATGTGTGTTGTTCAGCATTATACATGTGTGTTGTTCAGCATTATACATGTGTGTTGTTCAGCATTATACATGTGTGTTGTTCAGCATTATACATGTGTGTTGTTCAGCATTATACATGTGTGTTGTTCAGCATTATACATGTGTGTTGTTGCATTATGCCATGTGTGTTGTTCAGCATGCCATGTGTGTTGTTCCAGCATTATACATGTGTGTTGTTCAGCATTATACATGTGTGTTCAGCATTATACATGCATTAAACATGTGTGTTGTTCAGCATTAAACATGTGTGTGTGTTCAGCATTATACATGTGTGTTGTTCAGCATTAAACATGTGTGTTGTTCAGCATTATACATGTGTGTTGTTCAGCATTATACATGCATTATACATGTGTGTGTGTTATACATGCATTATACATGTGTGTGTTCAGCATTATACATGTGTGAGCATACATGTGTGTTGTTCAGCGTATACATGTGTGTGTGTTCAGCATTATACATGTGTGTGTGTTCAGCATTATACATGTGTGTTCAGCATTATACATGTGTGTGTGTCAGCATTATACATGTGTGTGTGTTCAGCATTATACATGTGTGTGTTCAGCATTATACATGTGTTTGTGTGCATTATACATGTGTGTGTTCAGCATTATACATGTGTTGTTGTTCAGCATTATACATGTGTGTGTGTTCAGCATTATACATGTGTTTGTGTTCAGCATTATACATGTGTGTGTTCAGCATTATACATGTGTTTGTGTTCAGCATTATACATGTGTTTGTGTTCAGCATTATACATGTGTTTGTGTTCAGCATTATACATGTGTTTGTGTTCAGCATTATACATGTGTGTGTTCAGCATTATACATGTGTTTGTGTTCAGCATTATACATGTGTTTGTGTTCAGCATTATACATGTGTGTGTTCAGCATTATACATGTGTGTTGTTCAGCATTATACATGTGTTCAGCATTATACATGTGTGTGTTCAGCATTATACATGTGTTGTTCAGCATTATACATGTTTAGTCATCAATAATCCACTAACCGTATTCTACCAATCCGACCTCCATCCTCCCTGAAAACATACAAGTATAAATTAATTTCCAAGTATAATGAACTTTTTATTATTGAATTAATAAATAAACCCAAATGGTATATTTTAATCTTTACTGTACAGCATCCTGCTTCAGATGAATAACTAACATGATCTATTGTAAAGATAAACCCAATTATAGAGGTTATTTAATGTGTTGGGACAATACTGTACAGCTTGATGAGTACAGTACAGTAAAGTAGAATACACTACTACATCTTATCAAAAGTATAATTAATATTTTGCTCCATCTCACTTAAGTGTTTAACCTTTACTGTCAAGACACAAAACAGGATAACTGTACTGTACTGTACTATGAACAGTTTTTAGTACAACAAATCTCCTATTTTATACAATATCTCACTGTCAGCCCTTCAACAGTTTGTGACTTATTCTTGTCTCCTGGTACACAACTTCTTAAGCTACACATTAATTAAACTTCTACTCTTATCAAGTCACTTGGGTATTGTATCACTTTGGCCCTTAACTTTATATATATTTCATCATATAAATGTTATATATTAATCAAACTGTAGTGTAATAAATCCTTACCTTTCTTCCTCACCAAAGTTCTGTGCCTGTTGTTGTCGTCTGGTGGCCTGTGAATTATAGTCCCTCTGATGACGTTCTCTTAACTCCCTCTGTTGGCCCTCTCTGTATTGATAGCTACCCCGGTGTTGGTAGTCCCTCTGGTAGCCGTGCTGGTAGTCCCTCTGGTAGCCGTGCTGGTAGTCCCGATACACCTCTCCTCTCTGGGAGTCTTGCTGCGTCCAGTCTCTGACCCGTTCGTGATCGCGGAAATTCTTTCTCCTGAAGGTGTTACCGCCACTGCCAGTGTTACCGGGGCCACTACCGCCGGAGGTGTAGTCCCTGCCCCTGCTTCTACTGCGACTTCTTCTGTTACTGCTGCTGGGGTGACGGTCTCTTTCTCGATCCCTGTGGGGTGGTTGTCTGTCAGTATGATCTGGCCTTATTATTCTGTTTAAGTTAATTTTCTTACCACCTATGATAAAATGATATAATAACTCTACAGCCAAACAACCATGACATGATCAGCCAGATGGACAGTTTAAGGTATTTTAAGCCTCATAAGGTCAGGTCAGATTAGGTTAAGACAGTACTGTATTGTTGGACAGTTTACAAGTATCTTCCAGGTTGTTTGTTTACAGTATGTAGTAAATATTTTGAATGAATGTAAAAGTCCAACCAATAATTAAGCAACGGGAACTAAGTAACCAATCACCGATCACTTTTACATTCATTCAAAATATTTACTACATACTGTAGTAAACAAACAGCCTGGAGTTGCCAGCTGTCTCCAGGAGTGTTAAAAGAATCTTTAATACATGTGTACAATAATTTATTACATTATTTCTTGTAGTGTTTGTTTACCCAAGTTGTAACAGTAAACAGTAGTCAGTTGTTCCATCTGCCTCAACTTGGTACAAACTATTAGAAGACTTTACAACACAGCTTTAATGTTTATATATATATGAAGAGTTTGTCATTTATTGAGTGAACTTATGAGACTTAAAATACCTTGAAGTGTCCAACAATACTGTACAGTACTGTCCTAACCTAACCTAACTTATCCTAATCTAACCTAACCTACCTAACCTGACCTTATGAAGCTCAAAATACCTTAAAGTGGTTTATTATTTCTGTCCACCATTACAGCACTGTGACTAAACCTAACCCAACCCAATCCAAACCTGACCTAACTCAATCCAAAACACTAACTAACCATCGACCTCCAGGGCTATGTGACCTCGACCTCCTTCTGTACGAGTCACGGTATCGTTCAGGTGGAGGAGGAAGATCCCAGTGTGACGAGGAGTTCCAGTGTCGGCCGTGGGTCTCCCTGTTCCACTCTGCCGGGGTGTTATGTTCCCTACTGCGTCTACCCTCTCCAGCCCACCTGCCTGATGAGCTCTGTTGATAATAAAATGAGTTTCACAAGTTAGTCATTTATATACATTACAAAATATATGAAATCTTATGAAAGGTGGTACAGTAGTTTACTATATTACATAATAAATACAGTATTGATATTATGAATTATATTACATAATAAATACAGTATTGATGTTATGAATTACTTGTAAATATATAAAAATGAGTTTCAGAGGTTAGTCATTTATATATTATTACAAAATATATGAAATCTTATGAAAAGTGGTACAGTACAGTAGTTGCCTATATTACATAATAAATACAGTATTTATGTTATGAATTACTTGAAAATATATAAAATGGGTTCAGAAGTTAGTAATTCTTAAACATTACAAAATCTTATGAAAGGTGATACAGCAGTTGACTATATTACATGATAAACTGGCATTAGAGATACATTATTGATAAAATTACCTTTAATAAAATATATTCTTAAAGACTCTTGTGGTCGTTCAGTAATATATTGAACCTGAAATATAAACGAGTTATTACTTACCCCAGAAAAGGAATGACACAATTGAAGCCAAACGAGCACACTTAACTGTCACCGACCTGCTTAGGAGGCAAAGGGGATTTTGACCGTGATTTTGATCTTTGGTGAGATCTTGACCTCTGTCGGGACTTGGATCTTGGCCGAGACTTTGACCTTGACCTCGAGCGTGACCCGGATCTAGAGCATGACCCCGACCTTGACCTCGACCCCTCGGAGCTTGAGTCTTCTCCTTGTAGGCGATGACGTTTTTCCCGCTCCCTTTAACACAGTAGAGAACAGTTAATGATGTACAGTTAATGATGTACAGTTAATGATGACCAGTTAATGATAATCCCTCCATCTTACACTAACATTTTTAACCAAGTCCACACACACACACACACACACACACACACACACACACACACAGAGCCAGCCAGGTCCCCAATTACTGCTGCTGGGTGCACAGAGGCAAATGGCATAAAGAAACTTGCCCACAGTTTCACCCTGCCTGGGGATCGAACCCAGGTCCACTCATTTGCAAGGCGAGGATGATGACCATTACACCACAGCTGTATTCCGGGGTAATGGTTAGCCAGTGCAGTTGACAAGTTGTCCAGTCTTCTCGGACTATTCCTCGACACTGGGTCATGCAGCTCGTTAACTTAGGGTGTGGTTGTTGGTGACAGCTTCTACACCTTAAACAAATTCACGCCTAAGTGGCTGTGGGGCCGGCCATGGCGACCATTATTATGATAAGTGTTAGTGTAGTATAGTGTATATAAGGAACTACAGACCATAACATATAGTGCCATAAATCACTGATATGTCTCAAGTATTACACTATATTACCCCCAAACTCTCTTCTGATCCTATAGTTAGAGAACCAATTAATAACCTGTACATAAGGGTGAGAATCCTTTAAAACAACTGTTATAAACCACACATTCCTTCCTGAACCAATTAATAACCTGTACATAAGGGTGAGAATCCTTAAATAAAACAACTGTTATAAACCACAAACTCCTTCCTGATCATTTTTCCCTCCATGATCTACCTTGAGGGAGGGAGAGATATGGTGGGCCTGATAGGTTCTCAAACAAGGAAGATCAAATATTATGTCTCACCTCCTTCTGAGTCTGATAGCCATCTCTCTCAGTTCCTCTTCCCTGTCTTGTCTCTCTTGTTCGGCTTTCTCTTGTCTCTCTCTCTCTAGACGTTTATCCGCCTTGACTGTGGGACGGATTTAGACGGATGAGTCACGGTCAATATTTACAAAAAAACGAGAAGAAATTTACTGGACTAAGATTCGTTTTATTTTATCAACAAGAACTTCTGGACATGATAGCTGTGTGGAGTAAAATGGTGGATGATAGCTGTGTGGAGTAGAATGGTGGATGATAGCTGTGTGGAGGAGAATGGTGGATGATAGTAGTGTGGAGTAGAATGGTGGATGATAGCTGTGTGGAGTAGAATGGTGGATGATAGCTGTGTGGAGTAGAATGGTGGATGATAGCTGTGTGGAGTAGAATGGTGGATGATAGCTGTGTGGAGGAGAATGGTGGATGATAGTAGTGTGGAGTAGAATGGTGGATGATGGCTGAGAGGAGTAGAATGGAGTTCTTGTTATCTAGGAATAGTTTCAGATTGGAATGGTACTTTTAATCATTCCAGAAGTTTTTGTTGAGTATCGTACATATTAGTACACTAAAAAGAAGTGACAATCTTTAAAGCAATGATAAAAGTTTGTAAGATCTTTCCTTTGTATTTCTTAATTAACTCAAATGGAAACTTATATAAGATATGCTGGAAAATGTAATATTTTTAGCACAATATTACCCAAAGTAATTTTGTTTTGCTTGGCTGTTTAAAGAAGTTAATACCAAAAATTATTCCCACGAGTTTATATTTCACATGATAAACTGAGACAGTAAAAAGGTCAAAGAAGGTCAACTCACACTGCTTCTTCAACAACGCTTGGGTCTTTCGCTTCAGTCTTTCCTGTGGTGTTAACTTTGGTCCATCCTGAAAGAGGGGCATCAACTTAATCCTGAACTCTCACCAAAGTCTCTGTTTTAGAGAAATTGTTTCATCATAAAGAAGTAGCAGGCATCACCAGCGGCCATGTTACTAATTTATATCTTGACGGTGTTTAGTGTTCGATCGCTGTCACTCTGTCTCCTATAGGCTTGATGTACAGTGGGTAAGACGACTATCTGTGCAGGTGGGGGCGGTATGAGACTGTGGATGATATTGGTACTATATGAGGGCTGTCACTAGTTACATGTAAAGACCGTGGATGATAAATATTGGTACTATATGAAGGCTGTCACTAGTTACATGTAAAGACCGTGGATGATAAATATTGGTACTATATGAAGGCTGTCACTAGTTACATGTAAAGACTGTGGATGATAAATATTGGTACTATATGAAGGCTGTCACTAGTTACATGTAAAGACCATGGATGATAAATATTGGTACTATATGAGGCTGTCACTAGTTACATGTAAAGACCGTGGATGATAAATATTGGTACTATATGAAGGCTGTCACTAGTTACATGTAAAGACCGTGGATGATAAATATTGGTACTATATGAAGGCTGTCACTAGTTACATGTAAAGACCGTGGATGATAAATATTGGTACTATATGAAGGCTGTCACTAGTTACATGTAAAGACCGTGGATGATAAATATTGGTACTATATGAAGGCTGTCACTAGTTACATGTAAAGACCATGGATGATAAATATTGGTACTATATGAGGGCTGTCACTAGTTACATGTAAAGACCGTGGATGATAAATATTGGTACTATATGAAGGCTGTCACTAGTTACATGTAAAGACCGTGGATGATAAATATTGGTACTATATGAAGGCTGTCACTAGTTACATGTAAAGATCAGATGATAAAATATTGGTACTATATGAAGGCTGTCACTAGTTACATGTAAAGACCGATGATAAATATTGGTACTATATGAAGGTTGTCACTAGTTACATAAAGATTCATGAATGATAAATATTGGTACTATATGAGGGCTGTCACTAGTTACATGTAAAGACCGTGATGATAAATATTGGTACTATATGAAGGCTGTCACTAAAGGTTACATGTAAAAAGACTGCGGGATGATAAATATTATACTATATGAAGCTGTCACTAGTTACATGTAAAGACTGTGGATGATAAATATTGGTACTATATGAAGGCTGTCACTAGTTACATGTAAAGACTGTGGATGATAAATATTGGTACTATATGAAGGCTGTCACTAGTTACATGTAAAGACTGTGGATGATAAATATTGGCACTATATGAAGGCTGTCACTAGTTACATGTAAAGACCATGGATGATAAATATTGGTACTATATGAGGGCTGTCACTAGTTACATGTAAAGACCGTGGATGATAAATATTGGTACTATATGAGGGCTGTCACTAGTTACATGTAAAGACCGTGGATGATAAATATTGGTACTATATGAAGGCTGTCACTAGTTACATGTAAAGACTGCGGATGATAAATATTGGTACTATATGAAGGCTGTCACTAGTTACATGTAAAGACCGTGGATGATAAATATTGGTACTATATGAAGGCTGTCACTAGTTACATGTAAAGACTGTGGATGATAAATATTGGCACTATATGAAGGCTGTCACTAGTTACATGTAAAGACCATGAATGATAAATATTGGTACTATATGAAGGCTGTCACTAGTTACATGTAAAGACCATGGATGATAAATATTGGTACTATATGAGGGCTGTCACTAGTTACATGTAAAGACCGTGGATGATAAATATTGGTACTATATGAGGGCTGTCACTAGTTACATGTAAAGACCGTGGATGATAAATATTGGTACTATATGAGGGCTGTCACTAGTTACATGTAAAGACCGGATGATAAATATTATTGGTACTATATGAATAAGTTGCTGTCACTAGTTACATGTGGAAGACCGTGGATGATAAATATTGGTACTATGAAGGCTGTCAATTAGTTATGATGTAAATATCTGGCGGATGATAAATATTGGTACTTATGAAGAAGCTGTCATCAGTTACATGTAAAGACCGCGGATGATAACACAGTACTATATGAAGGCTGTCACTAGTTACATGTAAAGACCGATGATAAATATTGGTACTATATGAGGGCTGTCACTAGTTACATGTAAGACTGTGGATGATAAATATTGGTACTATATGAGGCTGTCACTAGTTACATGTAAAGACTGCGGGATGATAAATATTACACTATATGAGGGCTGTCACTAGTTACATGTAAAGACCGTGGGATGATAAATATTGGTACTATATGAAGGCTGTCACTAGTTACATGTAAAGACCGTGGATGATAAATATTGGTACTATATGAAGGCTGTCACTAGTTACATGTAAAGACCATGAATGATAAATATTGGTACTATATGAAGGCTGTCACTAGTTACATGTAAAGACCATGAATGATAAATATTGGTACTATATGAAGGCTGTCACTAGTTACATGTAAAGACCATGAATGATAAATATTGGTACTATATGAAGGCTGTCACTGGTTACATGTAAAGACTGTGGATATGATAAATATTGGTACTATATGAGGGCTGTCACTAGTTACATGTAAAGTGGATGATAAATATTGGTACTATATGAAGGCTGTCACTAGTTACATGTAAGACCGTGGATGATAAATATTGGTACTATATGAGGCTGTCACTAGTTACATGCCGTGGATGATACTATTGGTACTATATGAAGGCTGTCACTAGTTACATGTAAAGACCGTGGATGATAAATATTGGTACTATATGAGGGCTGTCACTAGTTACATGTAAAGACTGTGGATGATAAATATTGGTACTATATGAAGGCTGTACTAGTTACATGTAAAGACCATGAATGATAAATATTGGTACATATATGAGGCTGTCACTAGTTACATGTAAAGACTGTGGATGATAAATATTGGTACTATATGAAGGCTGTCACTAGTTACATGTAAAGACCATGAATGACATAAATATTGGTACTATATGAAGGCTGTCACTAGTTACATGTAAAGACTGTGGATGATAAATATTGGTACTATATGAGGGCTGTCACTAGTTACATGTAAAGACCGTGGATGATAAATATTGGTACTATATGAAGGCTGTCACTAGTTACATGTAAAGACCGTGGATGATAAATATTGGTACTATATGAGGGCTGTCACTAGTTACATGTAAAGACCATGGATGATAAATATTGGTACTATATGAAGGCTGTCACTAGTTACATGTAAAGACTGTGGATGATAAATATTGGTACTATATGAGGGCTGTCACTAGTTACATGTAAAGACCATGGATGATAAATATTGGTACTATATGAAGGCTGTCACTAGTTACATGTAAAGACCGTGGATGATAAATATTGGTACTATATGAAGGCTGTCACTAGTTACATGAAAGACTGTGGATGATAAATATTGGCTATATGAGGCTGTCACTAGTTACATGTAAAGACCGTGGATGATAAATATTGGTACTATATGAAGCTGTCACCTAGTTACATGTAAAAGACCATGGATGATAAATGGTACTATATGAAGGCTGTCACTAGTTACATGTAGACCATGGATGATGAAATGTGGTACTATATGGGGGCTGTCACTAGTTACATGTAAAGACTGGCGGATGATAAATATTGGTATATATGAGGCTGTCACCTAGTTACATGTAGACCGTGGATGATAAATATTGGTACTATATAGAGAACATCACTAGTTGTAGAACCGTGGATGATAAATATTGGTACTATATGAGGGCTGTCACTAGTTACATGTAAAGACCGTGGATGATAAATATTGGTACTATATGAAGGCTGTCACTAGTTACATGTAAAGACTGTGGATGATAAATATTGGTACTATATGAGGGCTGTCACTAGTTACATGTAAAGACCGTGGATGATAAATATTGGTACTATATGAAGGCTGTCACTAGTTACATGTAAAGACCGTGGATGATAAATATTGGTACTATATGAGGGGTCACTAGTTACATGTAAAGACTGTGGATGATAAATATTGGTACTATATGAAGGCTGTCACTAGTTACATGTAAAGACTGTGGATGATAAATATTGGTACTATATGAGGGCTGTCACTAGTTACATGTAAAGACTGTGGATGATAAATATTGGTACTATATGAAGGCTGTCACTAGTTACATGTAAAGACTGTGGATGATAAATATTGGTACTATATGAAGGCTGTCAGTAGTTACATGTAAAGACCGTGGATGATAAATATTGGTACTATATGAAGGCTGTCACTAGTTACATGTAAAGACCGTGGATGATAAATATTGGTACTATATGAGGGCTGTCACTAGTTACATGTAAAGACCGTGGATGATAAATATTGGTACTATATGAGGGCTGTCAGTAGTCACATGTAAAATTTCAGGAGATCATATCGACCCCCACCTGCACAGATAGTTGTTTTAGCTACTGTACATAAATGACTCGCACACCGTCACCGAACACTGAAAATTAAAAAATATCCGTGACCCAAACATTACACAGCTGATGTAAACATAAAGCTCCACGTTTTCCAAGCGGTGAACCCTGGCTCTTGGGAGATGCTCGACCAACTCTACTCTCATTACCACTATTGACACTCTTTACTGTGTATCTGTTTCGTTGTTATTTACGTCGTTGACAACAAAATATTAAAACGATCCTTAACTAATGACCGAGTTCCAACTTTTAAAGGTTTATTTCATTATATTTGTATATAAGTAATTCTAAATCATTTTAATGGTTCTAAGTCTTTAAACCAAATGTTGTTGGAATTATTACCAAGTATTTTCAAATATATCAAACAGGTATTTTACTGTACAACACAATCCTGGCAGCATGACTGCCTATATCTCAGATTACCTCTTACTAGTAATAAACATTAATTTATTGATGAAAATAACAATAGCCAGACTGTATTGTGCCATAAATGACTTATATTAACTTAAATGTTGCTGAACGATGGAACAATTCTCCATTAACTACCCACACCTAACGATGGAACAATTCTCCATTAACTACCCACACCTAACGTTGGAACAAGTCTCCACTAACTACCCACACCCAACGATGGGACAATTCTCCATTAACTACCCACGCCTAACGATGGAACAATTCTCAAAGGGGGAAGTTACCGAAACCTATATCAAAACTCCTGACACTGTGGCTTATTGGTAGGGCATTTTCTACAGATACTTTAGTAGAGACTTTAAGAATATGGCATATTGGTTGGGCATTTCTTCCAGTGTTGCCAGATTGAGACATTGACGCAAACTCTCATAAACGCGACGAAGGCTCAGACAGACATCGAGTAGCCTGGTGCACTAAAGTATGCTTAAAGAGGTGTTAAATACCGTCGAAAAATGTCTATCCGAAGAAAGATTATTGTAAGATAAATAAATTACTACTTAATACCTTGAAACTACTATCTATTCTTGACAATATAAGAGCCACAATATTAGAGTGGTTCAGTTAGGACAATATCTCTCCTGAAATATCAAAACATTAACATTTTATTAACTTTACGAGTAAAAGAAGAATCGTATAGAGAATAAAAGATGTATTTCTAATTATCATGAGGTTTTAGAATGATATAAGAGGTAACTACCATAATAAAAAAAATAATTATCATGAGATTTGTGATATATAAAAAGTAATTACCATAATAAAAAAATAATTATCATGAGATTTGTGATATATATTAAAAGTAACTGCCATAATAAAATATAATTATCATGAAGTTTGTGATATAATAAAGGTAATTACTACAATAAAATATAATTACGATGAATTTTGTGATATATAAAAGGTAACTACCATAATAAAATATAATTATCATGAAGTTTGAGATATAATAAAGGTAATTACTATAATAAAATATAATTATCATGAATTTTGTGACATAATAAAGGTAATTACCACAATAAAATATAATAACCATGAAATTTGTGATATATAAAAGGTAACTACCATAATAAAATATAATTATCAGAAGCAAGAAATAAAATAAGTTTACATCAATGAGCCATAAGTACTATGATATAACATGGACAACAAGAACAGTTTCTTACTGACTTTGGCGATTGTTGAACCATTACCCACTGTTGTTGAGGGCACCCTGGAACAAGGCACCACACCATTAGTGACCACACCTTTAATAACTACACCACCACACCATTAATAACACCACACCATCAGTGACAATAAACAATCCCTCAGGTGACTTAAAATATTATGAGAATAAAATGTTTAAAAGTGGACAAAAATGGAAACCAACACTCTATGAGCTCTCTCTCTCTCTATCTCTTCATGTTCTCTCTCTCTCTCTCTATATATATATATATCTATCCCTCTCTCTCACTCTCTATCTCCCTCTCTCTCTGTTTCTCATATATTCAAATTGTTTCTCACCATTATAACCATTAGTGCATCTGTATAGCACCACTACTGTACTGTACATCACCAAGTTATACCAGATATATTCATAGTATACTCGTATATTGTACAATGAAAGTCTGAGTTATCTTACAAATTGTTAGTTTTGACACAAATTGTTAATATATAAAGTAAAGTCCACTTACAAATTGTTAGTTTTGACAGTAGTATTTGTAGAGTTCTGCATAGTCCCGGTACTACTGGTAGATTTACCATCTGACTCACACTCAGAGCCTGACTCAGAGTTACTGTCTTGTCCCCTGCGACCGTAATAACGGCGGCACGGGGGTGATGGCAGCTTTGTCAGTGGGTCTGGCGTACCACTACTGCCACCAGTGTGTTGTACTGGAACTATAGCCCCCTGGGTGGTTGTAGTCTGGAACAATAGTACGGTACAAAATGAATAAATATTATAATATATAAATAATTGTAAACATAATACTGTACTCTACTGTACTCTATAGTATTTCCACGGTAAACTGGTCCATAAGCCACGCCCCCTGCTTCTATACTAATAGCTGATTGGTTCATAGACAATTCAAACAGTGTTCACCATTGGCCAGTAGACCTGTTGTTAGCTAAAATAATGTTAAATATCTCGACTATCAAAATATAAATTATTTCAAGACATTAACACTTGAGAGACGATGTTAGAAAATGTTAGATATTTATCAGAAAAGATCAATATAAATACACTCAGTCCAGGGAGGGGGGGAAGACGCTCAGGGGAACCAATCAGGTTATAGGTATAGATGAGGGGGCGTGGCTTATGGGACAGATTAGTCCAAACAAATTAAAATTATCATCTGTAAACAATAATTTTCTTCATGTCAGACTGTAAAGTAAAAGGCTTGTTTACATAGTATAGTAAACCCTCCAGTTTGGCGACTTTCTATTTGGCGAATTACAAGTTGGCGATCAAAGTTCTGTACCCTGGTCTCCATTATGGCCACTAAATCCACACCTTTGGCCAGAGTTTGAATTTAAACGTAATCACAACTAATGTAGAATAATTTCAAGATAAATCACCCTTAATATTATTGGTGAGTATTAACCCAACAGGCAGCCATTTTGACCGCGGTTCAGTACACATTCCCGCTGTTTGTTTGAGCGACTCTGGCCTTTTGTGTACCTTTTTTTACTCCCTCTCGCTTGGTGCCGTGTTCTCGTGTGGATTAATGGTCTCAAAAGTACCTGGGGGAATTGGAGATGATAGTGGTGGTGAAAGACCGTCTGGGCGGTTCAAATGATGAGGTAAAAACAAGGGAAAAAAATTCTAGTAAGTATTGAGTTGAGAAGAAAATGAAAAAGTAGCCATTTGAGGATAAGAGAAAGACGGTGGATATGATTGAGCTTACCAAAGGACTTTTAATATAAAGGCTTTAATCTGGTGGTGGAGGCTTGGGTAAAGAGGCCACGATCGTTAGCCTTCCTTCCCCAGCCCCAGATACCAGCTAAGTCTACATTAAGCTTCTCAACTTATAATTTAGGGGCCACGATCGTTAGCCTTCCTTCCCCAGCCCCAGATACCAGCTTAGTCTACATTAAGCTTCTCAACTTATAATTTAGGGCCACGATCATTAGCCTTCCTTCCCCAGCCCCAGATACCAGCTTAGAATACATTAAGCTTCTCAACTTATAATTTAGGGCCACATCGTTAGCCTTCCTTCCCAGCCCCAGATACCAGCTTAGTCTACATTAAGCTTCTCAACTTATAATTTAGGGGCCACGATCGTTAGCCTTCCTTCCCCAGCCCCAGATACCAGCTTAGTCTACATTAAGCTTCTCAACTTATAATTTAGGGGCCACGATCGTTAGCCTTCCTTCCCCAGCCCCAGATACCAGCTTAGTCTACATTAAGCTTCTCAACTTATAATTTTAAGGTTGGTTTCTATGTTTATGTTGATTAATTAATCATTCATTCTCTTTCATCAATAAAATATAGGTTATATGTGGGTTCGTTTTTTCCCATTGGATTAAGCCCACTGATTTGGCGGGGGTTAACAAGGCACTAATTAGTCGCCAAACTGGAGGGTTTACAGTAGTTATGTAATACTGTACTTAAAGTTAACAACACTAACTACTTACCTAACCAACTACAGGCTATTAACTCACCTCAGTGGGGGAGAGGATCTTCTTATCAATACTCTTTGACCTGCTGTGTGACTTTGACCTGCTGTGTGACCTTCTTCTAGTACCACGACCTCTCCTCCAGGTGTGGTGCCTGTAGTTAAACATAGAACGACATAGTCAACACAGGTAGTTAAACATAAAACTGTGTGTGAGAGAGAGAGTTATATCAACAATGTTACTACACAATGACTCATCAAGTGCCTACCATACCTACCATGACTTATCAATAATGACTGACTCAGACCCCAAGAGGCCCTCAATCATGATGGTTAGGTTAGTTCATGTCATGTTAGGTTAGGTCAGGTCATGTTAGGTTTGGTCAGGTCATGTTAGGTCTGGTCAGGTCATGTTAGGTCAGGTCAGGTTCTATGTGACCTTAAACTGGTCATGATAAACAATATCTTACAAACTATCAGTGGTTATTGGCACTGACCTGTCTCGTGACCTGGACCTGGAGAGCGACCTGCTGCGTGACCTGGTGAATCCTGAGTGCCTGGTGTGAGAATGGGAGCGAGAATGTCGAGAATGTGACCTGGAATGACGCGACCTCTGCCGACGACGTGACCTCCCGCTTGACCCACTCCGAGAACGCGACCTGTTTCAACCACTGGACGTTAACTTAACTATCTCTTAACTGTTAATGAGGTAGTTTATAGTCTTTAATACATTGTTAGTTTGTATCTGTACCTACAAAGACCCCTACATAATAATACTGTACCTACAATGACCCCTACATAATAATACTGTACCTACAATGACCCCTACATAATGTTAATACTATACCTACAATGACCCCAACATAATAATACTGTACCTACAAAGACCCCTGCATAATGTTAATACTGTATCTACAAAGACCCCTACATAATGTTAATACTGTATCTACAAAGACCCCTGCATAATGTTAATACTGTATCTACAAAGACCCCTACATAATGTTAATAATGTATCTACAAAGACCCCTACATAATGTTAATAATGTACCTACAAAGACCCCTACATAATGTTAATAATGTATCTACAAAGACCCCTGCATAATGTTAATACTGTACATTAGAAGACGACTACACCGTACTACACTGAGCTAATACACACAGCCATTCTCTCCTCAGTACAGTATCAGGATTAAGTCAACTGTTATTATAATTTGGTTAAGTTCAAAACATTAATACATCTTTAAACAATATGATATAATTAGAGACTATGGTAATATGATAAGAGACTATGGTAATATGGTAATCCTCGAAGATTTGGAAAAAAAATTATTAGATGGTTTTGTGGTAAGTAGCCACCCTAAAGAAGCATTCCCAAAACAAGGTGAAGGTAGTTTTAGGCTTATAGTTTTTAGGTTACGTTAGGGTTAGGCTAAAAGTTAAATGTCACAGACTAAATTTAACAGAATATAACTTTCATTGCCGTAATCCTTGCAAGATAGTGAATAATTTGAGTATAGACATTACATATTTTGGCCTAAAAGATACAAATATTACTCCATTAGTGTAGTACATTGAGTACAGTAATATATTACTCAAAATTATGGCTTTTTAACAGAAAAAGTCTGTATAAACTAACCACAGTAGTCAGGATATAATGTATTGTATTTTTTATTTATTTTTTATACATTTTATACATTTGTCGGAAGATTAAGACAATCAGCTTTTCCAGACAGGTGTCCCCCCCCCCCCATTTTAGTCCAAATCTTCGGGGTTTACAGTAATATGAAACACCAAATGGAACAGCGACTTTAAACAATGTCAATAATACCCTAATGAATCACCGGTCAAAAGTCAGACTATTGAACAAACATCAAATGTCACGTCAATACCCCGGGAGCGTACGGTAAGACCCCGATATAACGAGCTGACTGCGAGGTAAGGCCGAGATTCGTTATGTCGGGATTTACCGTAATCTAACCTAACCCCAGGGGTGATTATTTACGGTGAGATAATTCACAAGATGCTAGGATTTCCCCCCGGCCCACTTACCATATACCAGGCTGCTGCCGTTGTCAACATCACCACTTAACATAGTCGTTCGGTCACATTAGGCCATTATGAGTTTATTATGTTATTAACCCATTATTAAACAACAATAATATAGACTTTATATAGTAATCATTAACACTATAAATAGACCAGTTTACAGTTGTGGGTAAACACCAAGAAATACATTCTGCCTTGTTTGTAGAGTGATACTATATATATAATTTGTAATAATAGTTTAAACTCCAGCTATAATAATTAAGATAAGTTTATTTCTCTAAACACAGGGCCGCCATTCAAACACCGCTGGGCTGCAGTCTGAGGTAGTAGAAAGGATGGCCTCTTCAGACACCCAAATGCCACGTTCAGGTAAGTTTTAAGGGTGTTTTATTATGGTCTAAGTCACGGACATTTGGTAATTATTGGATGGATAAATAAGCAATAGAGGTTGGGTCTAAATGGGACTGCCCAGTATGGCCAGCTGCAGTGTCCTCCATTCTTACGGACATAAAAAACTCCCATGTTCACACCAACTCAGCCGTCATGTACTCTTAACTGGTAGACTGTCTCTTTTTTTCAGTGCATTTACAGAGTATATCAGTACAGTACTAGATGGAGATAAGAGTCAATTTAGAAGTAATGACATAGTCTAGACTTTGTTTTGATAATGCTTGTTAAACATGACAACATAGTGCTGTTATTGTTTTGATGATTCACTAATGAACCACTGGGATATATCATCATTTATATTAATTAATGGGTACAGTTTTACAATAACCACCATAAGTATTTTGAGGTTTAGATTCGAGAGATAGTCTATATTGAGTAAATTATAAGTTTTGGTCATTCTTGTACTTACACATGCAGAGTATGTTTTTTTCCTGATGGTTTACGATGTGTTGTGAACGATTTAGACCTTCACTTATAACAGAAATCACTAGTTTGAGTTACTACCTCCCCCCCTTACTGGTGTATGTTTAGCTAACCTTATAACTCATCATAACCTAACCTAACCTAACCTGTGATCTGTATTTTCTTATGCGATCGAAAAATGCTTTGCGACAGAAATCCTGTCGAGACAATGTGTCTTATTGTTTAAAGTACTTAATCCCATAGTTAGAATCTTAAGGTTCCCCAGATGACCAAAACCAAAATGATACCAATATTGTTTGGAATGTTTATACTATGAAATTTGTTGCATGGGCAGCTAATATCCATTAAATTAGTTTATGTGTTTAGTAATATTTATATATTCAAAATAGTATAACTGTGTTGCACAATAAAGCACAATTAATTATACAGGTATAATAATATTTATTTACTGAGCCGATCAGCTGAGAAGGTTGGACAACTACAGCTGGCAGCCTCCCGCTGGGAAGCTCACCCCAACCAGTAACGTCACAACCAATCACAGAGCTTTTCGCAGGCACGTGACTTTTTAGCAACTATATCCCATTATTGACACTTTTTAGCCCAATTTAATTAAAAAATAATTACGGTACCATAGTGACTTTAAGTGTTTCCTTTACCCATTAACCTACTTTAAGTGTTTCCTTTACCCATTAACCTACTTTAATTGATTCCTTTACCCATTAACCTGCTTTAAGTGTTTTGATACATCTATTGTCTTCAGTGGTCTGGCAGCATCCAATATAATCCACTGTATATTATTTAACACAATAAGTTCACCATACAACATGAGCCTATGTGGCCGAGTGAGACATGATGTCGACTTGGCCAAGAACTAGTGGCTGGCAGGATATATGTCTGATGACCCCAATGATTATGTGGTGGCCCAGCGAGACATAATATCAACTAGTGGTCGGCAGTATATATTATCTGATGACCCCAATTGATTATGTTGTGGCAGAGTCAGACACACGATATCAACTAGTGGCCGGCAGGATATATGTCTGGACACATGGCCGAAGAGACAAAAAGAGGAAGCCACGCCAGGGGGGTTTAGCCACCTGGTGGGGGGGGTTACCGACCGGCTGCGAGGCGAATGACGCCGTTTCTTAGAGGACGAGGAGACGTGGCCGGAGACCGTGGCGTGGTGGGGGCCGGAGCCGCCCGAGTGCTGACCTCCTCTAGCCGCTCCCTCACGCGACTTCTGGTCCCACCGGTTCTTGCGTCGGTCACGGACCGTACGGTCGCCCTTGGGTAGGATGATCACCCCGGTCACCCCCTCATCCTCTGTGCCCAGGCCGTCTGACTCTCCCCCGAAGCTGGTGATGAATTTGATGGTGCCGGCCGCTGGGGGCGTGGGAGAACGAGACTTGGAGCGGGAAGACGACCTACGGTAAGGTGCGTACGTCGGGCTGGCCCGGGCGGCGTAGCTGTGAATATAAACGATGGTCTTGATTACAGGCTGGGGAGGGTTGGGTTGAGTTGGGCTTTGGTTAGGAGAGGTTAGGTTTGGAATTGCTAACATACACAAAAGTATCCTAGCAAAACCCATAATAGTTAGGTTAGTTAAAGTTGGGTTGGGTTGGTTAGGTTAGGTAAGGTTAATAGATGCCAACATACACAAAAATATCATAAAAACCTAAACTAACCATAACCTAACATAACCTAATCTAAGGGGCGCTGGTGGTAGAGCGATACCGCTCTTGCCTCGCAAGCAAGATGTCACGGGTTCGACTCCCAGGCCGGTGGAAGTTGTTGGGACACTCTTCCTCGCCCCCTTGGTCCCTGTTCACCTAGCAGCACAGTAGGTACCTGTTGTAAGTCGAAAGTTGCGAATTCGTATTCAGGGAAAGTTGTTGGAGCTTCCAATAACTTGATGACATAAACCATTGACTCTCCAGGCTTCTACTCCCTTAACTCATGAGACATAAAGGCAAGCATGAACTTAGCATGTTTCCCTGTTGGGCGCTGTAAACACTTCACCTTACACAAGGATGTAGGGAGGGAGGTGCCCCCCCCCCCCAAAAAAAAAAACTAACCATAACCTAACCTAACCATACCTTGGGGGGCTAAACTTCCTGTCCATGTGTTTCTTCTTCAGAGCTCGTCGTTCCTTACGAGATTTTCTTCCCTGGTAAAGAGAAATGATACGTTAATATACAAAGGAATACAATTACAGTAATACAGTAAAATAATACAGTATACAGTAAAGTAATATACAGTATACAGTACAGTAATATACAGTATACAGTACAGTAATATACAGTATACAGTAAAGTAATATACAGTATACAGTAAAGTAATATACAGTATACAGTACAGTAATATAAAGTATACAGTAAAGTAATATACAGTATACAGTAAAGTAATATAAAGTATACAGTAAAGTAATATACAGTATACAGTACAGTAATATACAGTATACAGTCATCCCTTGGTTATCACGCCTAATTGGGACCGCACTGAGTGCGGATAACGAAAAACACGATAACGGTACAGAACCTATGATTTATTCTAATTGGTTCCAGGCACCAAAGACCCATCCCCAATTTTCCATTTTACAACCATTTACACCCACTAATGTTATGGTAAGTATCAGAAACACAC